GTGATATTGAATGGTTTGCCTTGGATTCGAACTGAGATCATTCTGTCATTTTGGGGATTGTATCCCAGTATTGCTTTTCCTATTCTTTTATTGACTATGAAGGCTACTCCATTTCTTCTGAGGGATTCTTGCCCGCAGTAGTATACCTGATGGTCATCTGAGTTAAATTCACCCATTCCTGTCCATTTTAGTTCGCTGAATCCTAAGATGTCGATATTCAGTCTTGTCATCTCTTGTTTGACTACGTCTAGCTTGCCTTGATTCATGGATCTTACATTCCAGGTTCCTATGGAGAAAAGATCTTTACAGCATCGGACTTTCCTTTCACCACCAGATATATCCACAACTGAGCATCCTTTCTGCTTTGGCCCAGTCGCTTCATTCTTTCTGGTGCTACTAGTACTAGCTCTCTGCTCTTCCTCAGTAGCATATTGGACACCTTCCGACCTGAGGGGCTCATCTTCCAGCGTCATATCTTTTTGCCTTTTGTTACTGTCCATGGGGTTTTCATGGCAAAGATACTGGAGTGGTTTGCCATTTCCTTCTCCAGTGGATCACATTTTGTCAGAACTCTCTGCTATGACCTGTCCATCTTGGGTGACCCTGCACGGCATAGCTCATAGCTTCATTGAGTTACGCAAGCCCCTTCGCCACGACAAGGCAGTAATCCATAAAAGGGACCTTTTTCTTTATGATTCAGCAAATTTCTTCTTGCATACATTTGTACATATATATGTACACAGACATAAGCAAAACACGCACAATATACTCTTTAATCACTAACCTTGGAAGTATACAATAGTTTGGGATTTAACTAGAATGTACTCAAATCAAATCTTAAGGCCCTATTTCCCTATAGAATCTTTTCCAAAATTGTATTTGAAGATTATTGCCTATCATATGGGCAATAATCACATTGTTAACAGATGATTTTTTTCTTGACTGGATCATGATTTTTAAATGAGGAATGTTTACATTCTGCAATGATGCTAATATGCTACTTTATAATTAATACCCTTTTCTCTTAAAGTTTAAGTGTTGTGGTGGTGAAGATTTTAAAGATTGGTCACAAAATCAATATCATGATTGCTCTGCTCCAGGACCATTAGCCTGTGGAGTCCCATATTCTTGTTGTGTTGCAAATAAGGTAAAAACAGTACATTATTCTGAATTAATTGGGCATTGTTGTAAAATCAATAGTTTTCCCCTTAAAGGTAAGCTTGTCAACAAAAAGAATAATCTGTGGAAACATTCGTGATAAAGGGTGTAGAGAAGAGCAACAAAGACGATAAAGAGTCTGGAGGCTAAACCATATGATTGAAGGAACTAGATGTGCCTAGTCTAATAAAGAGGACTAAGGGAGATACGATGGCAGTCTTCCAGTACTTGAGGGGCTGTCACAGAGATGAGGGGATTGACCTATTCTCCAAAGTACCCAAGGGGAGGACAAGAAGTAACAGGTGGAAGATCATTAAAGAGAGAGTGAACCTAGAACTAAGGAGAAATTTCCTGACAGTGAAAACAATCAATCAGTGGAACGGCTTACAACAGGGAAGTTGGGGGCGCTCCATTACTGGAGGTTTTCAAGAAGAGATTGGACAGCCATCTGTCTGGAATGGCATAGGGTCTCCTTCTTGAGCAGGGAGTTGGTCTACAACACCTTCAAAGTCCCTTCCAACCCTATTGTTGTATATTCTGTGTTCCATCCATCAGTTTGTTTGATGTGATTTGTACATGCCAAGATTGTATGTGGAGAATCAGTTTGATATAGTAGTTAAAAGGCTAAGAAAGCTTGAAGTTATAATGGGTGACTTTGGATTGGTCACTCTCTCTTAGCCCAGAGAAGATGGTACTGTCAGACTGGTTCCACATGTTGCCATACAGTTGTATGTAGTTGCCAGAAATCTAGATTGACTTGAAGAACTACAAGACACAAAGATTGTATAAAATAAACAGAAAGGAAACATTATTCACGGTTATATGGAAATAGCCTTATGGGTATTAGAACTATAGACTCTAAATACAATTTCCCTAACCAGAATTTGGATAAATTGGATAAATCTAATCTTTGGATAAATCTAAAAACAAATTAATTTGTTTGTATTAGACTTTTTACCGATAAAGAGCATTTTTGCCTTGTTAAAAATATTTTTGAAGCGAGTGAAGAGCCAGACAATTTTCCTTCTAGCATGTCACTGAGGCTTATTCTATGATGTAACTCTTTTTGTGACAGTCATAAATGCACTATAAAATATGGCTTTTTAAAGACATAATGCTATTTATATAATCAAATCTATAATAAAATCATATCCATAATACAATATGTATTATCACAGTTCATGAACGGAAGTAAATCTGTGTTCAGCAATGCTAAGTTTATAGTAACCCAGCTCTAGGCAATAGTTTTTGGAGGTGAACTATCTGTAATGCTCTGATATGATTATCAATAAGAAAATTGTATACAATCTATTATCAGATAATACCAATACCACTGTGAGGGTAATACACACCGCCTTTGTGTGTTTTTTTTCAGTGCTTTCAGAAGGATAAAAATAGCAGTGTCTTTAGTTATAAAATTAACATTATAAACACCTAAAACAATAGTCCTAGACATCTTTTCAAAGCTGTCTTGTGTTATACACATTTGTCTGAAAGATGCCACAACACCACTCTAAAAATAAATCAAGCCAAATAAATATTAACTGTTTGACATAGTTTCCAAAAGTAGCTTGGCTTTTTCATTGGAAAAATACAAATGTGAGCAGCAGTCATTCATTTATTCTGTGGTCATGGAAAAATATAATTAATATGTGAGGTCAGTGTCTTTATTCTTGGGCAAGCTTCGTGGAATAGATAAGATCTGGATAGTAGGCTTTGCCACTTCAGTGAAAATTTATTGGGATAGTGTAAACAGAGGCTATTCAAGCCTAGGAAATCTTGCCAGATCAAAAAAGCTGACTTTTCACTATCTATAATAGTGTACTTATCAGGCCTAGAGAAGGATGTGACATGAGTCAAGTCCGTTTCTCTAGCATAAGACATTCAACTAAGTATAGTAGGGCTATGAAATAGCTCAGGGGTCCCCAACCCCCAGTCTGTGGACCGGTCCCGGTCCGCAGCATGCCAGCAAGCAGGCCACACAAACAAGCAAAGCTCCATCCTCGGGATGCAGGCAGTATTCAAAACCACACCCCCTCTGGTCCGTGGAAAAACCTTTCTCCATGGCACCTGTCCCTGATGCCCAAAAGGTTGGGGACCTCTGAAATAGCTGATACGGGATAAAGCTGAGCATGGCTTGACTCAGTCCAGATCCTTTCTTATACCTTAACAAATAGGCCTCTAAGGGCCAATGCTTGCAAAATGAAAAGTTGGCTGTGCTCTATAGCTAATGCTAATGCTACATTACTTTATAGCAAGCAAGTATTTGGATGCTTGTATTATTGAGTTAAGCTTGACTAATGGGCTCCCAAACTTACCACTGAGTGTAAAGAGGCAGGACTGCAAATAATCCTATTTCTCCTGCTGTTCTTAAAAGGTCCTATTTTGCAGGTACTGTATTCAGTCTGGTGAGTAAAGTAGAAAAAAAATCTCCATGTGGAAGAGAGTAGATGGTTGTCATCTTAAACAAGCATATTTTTGGTGCAAGTATGATTATTTGGGAAATGGTACTTATGTAGGAAAGGATTATTTGGGTACTGTGTTAAGCAACTGAAATGGGTGGAAATTGTGTTTTTAATAGATTTGCTTATCTCAGAGGGGTTAGTATTCAGAGTATAATCCCAGTGAATTTGTACCTTTATTTGCTCAACTCAATTCATGTTATTGAATGCTCTTGTTCAAGATTTAAATATGTGGGACAACGAATCTTGAATTTTCAGGGGCATTCAAAAACATTAAAAGTGAAAAACCACTACTTTTCATGCTTAAACCTTTCACAAGCTGTTTACAAAAGAAATAGTGGCCTATTGAAACCAAGTTTATGGAAGAAAATGGTTGGAAGACCAAGTATGTAAAGTGAATCAACAAACTGAAATGTACACTTAAACAAGTATTATAGATGTCAAAGTCATGTATAAAAGCTTGGGCATTTGGATACTAATAAACTGTATCCAATTTACAATGAATTGGACTAATTTGGATGCAGGGAGGTTCATTTGTGCTCCCAAATACTTCCTCTTGAGATATTATAAAATTCTAATAAAAATATTGTTAAAAAAGCTAATAAAATTATTATTTAAAAAGATATTTAAAAACTTGGCAGAACTAGGTAATGATTTTTCACCTTTTAGTGTTTTTGTTAGCAATTTGAACATTAACAGAAAATGTATTTCACACAAGGGACTATTTTTTACTCAAACTATAATAATATAGTTTTATTTTTTCTTGTTTATTTAATTTTTACTTTAGGAAAAATAAAAAAACAACAACAATGTGATTATGTTATAGTTTTTATATCAAGCTATGTCATTCTGTTCATGTTACATTGTAAGTGAATGTGTTTATATGTGCTTTTTCCCCAGACAACGGTCATTAATACCATGTGTGGATATAAAACGATTAATGAAGAGGTAGGGATATGAAATATTTTTTACATATATTAAATTTAGCACTATAGTTAAAGCTATGGTTTTCCCAGTAGTTATGTATGGCTGTGAAAGTTGGACTATAAGGAAGGCTGAGGACCGAAGAATTGATGCTTTTGAATTGTGGTGTTGGAGAAGGCTCTTGAGAGCCCCTTGGACTGCAAGGAGATCCAATCAGTGAATCCTAAAAGAAATCAACCCTATTGTGACTTTGTTGAGTTGTTTCCCCAACACCTGGATCTAAATCAGGGGTGTCAAACTGCTGGCCCATGGGCCGGCGCGTCACATGGAAGCCACGCCCACCCCTTGCTGGCAATGGCAAAACAGTCCCGATACGTCACGCGACATCATATAACATCGTGAGTTTGACATGCCTGATCTAAATGATCAAAAAGAAATTGGTCATGATCTCTCAGCCATGCCAAGCCTTTTCCAGGAAGCCCTGTTTGGTAAGGAGCTACTCTTGCCAATTCAACCCCAATTGTAAGTCGCATAATATAATTAACAAGGTTGTAACTTATTACTTTACAGCGCCTGAGTGTTCAACATATCATATATATCAGAGGATGTACAAATGCTGTATTCATTTGGTTTACGGACAATTATGCCATCATGGCTGGAATTTTGCTCGGTATATTGCTTCCACAGGTAACTCTTTTTATAAGATAGATGGAGCATTGCCCTTCCTTCCTTCCTTCCTTCCTTCCTTCCTTCCTTCCTTCCTTCCTTCCTTCCTTCCTTCCTCCCCCCCCTAAACAGCAACTGAGTCTGGGTCTAGATTCCACCACCTCGTTTTGCCCAGGTTGCTGGGTGGGCAAGGAATCCTGAACCATGGATTGCAGCAGAGTCCTGCCTGGTCAGGACCTCTCCTGATTGTAGGAGAAACAGCTAGAGCTCACAAATCTTACTCAGCATCATTACTTCTTTGGGTTTTGCATAATATTCATGATGCAGTGTCAAAATTGGGCAAATCCTGGGTTCTTGCTGTCCTCTGAAGGGCTATTGGATGGGAAGGGAGGACAAGAGGAGAAAACAGATACTCTGGGAACAATTTTGTGTGTTTGTTTGCTTGACAGTTTTTTGGAGTGCTGATCACTTTGCTGTACATCACCCGAGTAGAAGACATAATTGCTGAACACAATGACACACTGCTTCAAGGAAGGAGGAGACAGAGGGAGGAGGATGAGCCAGCTGGAGCTGGGTGCTGTATGTGTTTTCCTGAGTAACACCAGATTGCCCTTTGAACAAGTCTAACAGTTAATATTCCCTTGCACTGCCTTGAATGTAAACTTGAATGTACTGTGATTTGTAAATAATAGATGACAAACGTCCTGACACTTTCCAGACATCATTAATAGAATATATCTCATCTCTAAGTGTTCCTTATTACAGCGAGATTTGTTCCTATGTTGGAATCTGTTTGTTTTGTGATGTCCCAAAAGACCTAGCCAGTTTCCTGGAGAGAAACTTCAGGAGAGAAATAATAATGGAGAGAGACATTCAGGAGAGAAATAATAATTTATTCTAAAGGTAATTATTATATACAAACTGACTTTATACTCAATTGGTCTACCTAAGAGTATATACCTGTATAGCAAGGTGAAGTTATATATTTTTTAATTACTACTAAAATATGGCAAGTCAACCGGTGCAGGAAATGTTTCACAAATCCACATCTATTGATTTCCCGCCATAAGATGATTCTGTGACAGAAGCAACCCACACTTCTTTTTTTATGGAAGGATAATATATCTGACTCCCTATGTATTATTAACTGGGTTAATTCTTGCTTTTCTAAAAACTTGGGCTTGCTCCAGTGTTGTTTTTAAAATGAATATAATTTTCAAGCTCCTCATTACATAATCACCACTGCAAATCATAATATTTAAATTTTCTGGGAATAATCTAATGTGAAGTCTTGTGTGGGAGCCTAGGTAAACACATTTAACTTTCCAATTGTTTCGCTGTTGATTCTTAGCCAATGAAGTATTTTAAGGAACTGATTTTCATTCTTGTGCAATCAACTTTTTATGCTGCTTCTAACAGATAACTGGGAATTTTAGAGGCCTTTGCTGTGTCTTTTGTACGTTCCTGATCTAATCCACCAGTGTGTGATCAGTTAACTAAAAGCTGCTTATTTTGATGCCAATTTTTAAATTTCTGATTTTTAACTGTATGGAGTTTTGTGTGAATCATATATTTGATATCCCTAATTAATGTATTTTTCTTCTGTTTCTGAGCAGAATTCAGGGGTGTACAGATGTACCACTGAAAAATTATATTGTTTACATGAAAAATAAAAGTTATGGTTTTGTAAAATAAAAAGATCATCTTTTCACTATGGAGTTGGAGTAATTGAATGGGTTTCCTGGACATAAAAAGTTTCTGTTCTTTTTTTAAGACGGTGATAATTCTACTCTGCAAAAAGTTGCCTAGAAATGTTGCATGTAATTGACTAATATCAATAAGACATACATTATTGCAAAAGTACTTTGTAGTCAACAATTTTAATGAGTAATATATATTTTACTTAGTTTTCACATAAATATGGCTAATCCTGTTCACTTTCTTCCTCAAGCCATAAAAGCAAAAAGTTAATTTGATAGACTATTAACAATTGGCAAATCAATTCTAAAATACAAGGCATTGGAGAGAACAGATTTTGTTTTGTAATGGGCTCATTCAAAGGACATATTTTCCAATTGCTTTATTCTGAAGAGTTGAATGTGAGCAAAAACCAAGGGGGTAAATTTCAAGTGTAATCTTTGCTCCCCTTCTGTGAATAAAAGTTTGACTAAAACATGAAAAAGATACTCTCAGCATGAATTTTACACATAGACATTGAAGACGAAATAACAGAATAAAAGAACTAATGTTAACAGTGAACTCTCCTTGAGCAAGCAAGTTAAAAACAAATTCTAACACACAGATTTCTCCAGGGTAGTACATGCAGTTTTCCCACAAACGTTCTTAATAAATTTCCTCTGACAAGTTTTTATGCCACTGTCCATAATAAAACCTTTTTAAATATAAACTAATCATCTGTCCCAAGCATACATATTTTTATTCAAAATGTTGGTGAAGAGGAAAGCAAACATTTAGTGCTTTTTTGCTCTCCATCTTATGATAGAGTGTGCATTGGTATGGCATATTTTGTGTCACATTTGTGCAGGATTTTCTTCATATCCCAGAACTAAGGTGCCTGTTACCTGCTTTTGAGAATGACTATCCTCCCCCTCCCTTTTCCCCCCAAGGTCCCTCAATTTTTAAGAGATTTTTCCCATTTTTTAAAAAAAATAAGCCTGTGTATCCATCAACACCTGAGTAAAAACAAATTCATTTCCTCTTAAGTGATAGTTGTTTTTGAGTAAATTAAGGTTTCCAAGAGTGAGAGAAACTTGTCCCCTCCCACTCTCCATCATCCCCAACACGCAAAGCAGAACAGGCTGTAATTGAAAGAGTTAAAGCAGGGGTCTTCAAACTTGGCCCTTTTATGACTTGTGGACTTCAAATCCCAAAATTCCTCAGCCAGCATGCCTGGCTGAGGAATTCTGGGAGATGAAGTCCACAAGTCATAAAAGGGCCAAGTTTGAAGACCCCTGAGTTAAAGGAACAAAGGGTTATTTTAACTCTGATCTACCAGAGCTGTGTTTTTCAACCTTGGACACTTTAAGATGTCTGGTCTTCAACTCCCAGCATTCCCCACCCCCCAGCCAGTCAACATTTATTTTCAGGTTTTTTTTCTTCTTCTATAAGTTTCCCATTTTCTGGCAATTCCCTTCTAACCAAGCGTATTAGTCTGAAAACCAAACAATAACCAGACAGAAACAGGAAATGCAGGCATCCCATATTTTATACTGCATGTACTTCACCCTTTCCTTACTCGCTAGTGCAGGGTGTCAAACCTTGGCCACTTGATGATATATGGATGTCAGCTCCTAGAATTCTCCAGCCAGCATGCTAGCTGAGGACTTCTAGGAGTTGAAGTCTACACAACTGAAAGTTGCCACTGTTCTAGAGAATTCCAGGTAAAGTGGGTAGTAGCTATTAAGACCCAGAAACATTTAGAAACAACAAGTCAAAGCTTTTCAAACAGTCTGTTGTCATTTTGCTTTGGTCTCAAGAAGCCTTTTTCACTTGTTTTTGAACACATCTTAGTTACGATTGAGAAACAAAAGGCCATACATTAAGTATAGCTTCTAGAATATTTCACCACAAGATAAAGAGTGAACTATGTCGTTCATATTTAAGTTGATGGTACTGCAGTTCTGAAAAGAGGGGGATTGGGGCAAACACTAAAAGTGAGTGATGCAAATGGAAATAAAATTCATTTTGAGTTTAGTATTTTCCCCTTCCCAATTCCTAGCAAATTGTGGATCCTTTTAATCAGGGGTCTTCAAACTTGGCCCTTTTATGACTTGTGGACCTCAACTCCCAGAATTCCTCAGCCAGGCACGCTGGCTGAGGAATTCTGGGAGTTGAAGTCCACAAGTCATAAAAGGGCCAAGTTTGAAGACCCCTGCTTTTAATGCTGTATCTTAGATTATTTAATCCAGGTTAGCCTCTCCAACATGGAATTGACATTATCAAGCCAACGAAGAGGACTAAAAACTACACCAAGGATTAAAATCCAACTGGGCTCATTATAAATCAGGCATTATATTGATCATAACTAGGGAAAAATAAATGATCCCAGCTCTAAAATTTGGACCAGAAAATGTTCTAAAAATAAAAGCACTGACAATTCATGGCAGTTGTTTTATTAACATTCACAATACTTTACAGAACAAAAATGCCTTCCACACTGTGGAACAATTTTAAGACAAAGGCAAGCATCAAACAAACTGCAGATCTCATGCAAAGCAAGAGACAAACCATGAGTCATATTGAACAGAGGAGGTGGTCATTTTTCCCCTTATAGTTGTATTAGCATTAGGGCTATAATTGACAACAAAAATAGATTAAGAAAATAGAATACCAGGAGTTAAACTAACAATTCAAGAACACACATGGAAACTATATGCCAATAATATAGTATTCGGTTACTTAACTGGAGGACTGCTTAATGCTGTTAATGGAATATACATAAATATGGATTTATATTAGGCCATTAGATCAATGAAGATAAAGCTCAAAATATGACATGGAATTTAACAAAAGAACAAAATTCTGCATCCAATAGAGGTTTAGCTTTACAGTATTGCAAAACAGATGAAATACTAAGTATTTACTGGACCAAAATGATTTCTTAAAAATAAATCAGGTGCAGCTTATATATCTTGTTAGGAAGAACTATAACATGGGTCTTCAAACTTGGCCCTTTTATGACTTGTGGACTTCAACTCCCAGAATTCCTCAGCCAGGCACGCTGGCTGAGGAATTCTGGGAGTTGAAGTCCACAAGTCATAAAAGGGCCAAGTTTGAAGACCCCTGAACTATAACAATCAAAATGAATAGTTTACCAAGACCTTTCTTTTCCAAATGATCCCAATACATTTTGAAAACAAGTTATAACATGTTTGGCATAAACAGGAAAGGAATTACATATGGTCCAAAAAAAAAAGACCAAGGATTAAATTCAAGGTTTTACAGCATTCAAAAATTAAAGTGGGTTAGTGGCTCCAAACCTGAAATATTATACCAGCGGACTGACAGATTATATCTCCTTAAGGCTAACGCTATGGAGGACTTAAGATATCACAGGATTGGCAAAAACAGACACAATTTATAGGAGCATGCAATATATGGCATGGCTTAAATAACTGCAGGAAAAGAATAAGTCTAGATTTTTCCTTTCTTGCTTTCCTGTTAAATATCTTTATCAAGAGAACACAAAGATATTCACTCAGTGGAAACAACTTTTTAAATGTAATCCTATTTTGCAATCTAAACAAAGATTGCATCTCTGCAATTCTCATTTCGCAACCATCTAATTTGCTGGTGGTGCCTTCCAGACATGTGGGAGCCATATGGCTCTGGTCCCCACAATATAAACCCCTCCCCCCAGTGTCTAGTCTTCTGGAATGAACTGGGTTGGATCTTGCCTACTTGCATAGGTTCCTCAGATACAGGAATGGCCAGAAAGATCTTTTAGAAGCTTGAATTCTGGCCCTTTCTTGCTGTAGATGTCCATCTATATATAGGCAGAGCTGCATTAATTCTTGAAGGGTTTCTGGACACTTGGCATTAATTCAACAAGACATTTTTTGGATAGGATAGGATAGGATAGGATAGGATAGAGCTGGAAGGGACCTTGGAGGTCTTCTCTCAAGCAGGAGAACCTATACCATCTCAGACTGGTGAAAGTCTAGTCTCAGGAATTCTGGGAGTTGAAGTCCACGAGTCATAAAAGAGCCAAGGTTGCCTACCCCTGGTCTAGCCTCTTCTTAAAAATCTCCAGTGATGGAGTGCCCATGATTTCTGGGGGTAAGCTGTTCCACTGATTAACTGTCCTCACTGTCAGGAAGTTTCTCCTTAATTCCAGGTTGCTTCTCTCTTTGATCAATTTCCAACCATTGTTTCTTGTCCTTCCCTCTGGTGCTTTGGTGAACAACCTGATCCCCTCTGCCTTGTGGCAGCCTCTGAGGTACTGGAACACTGCTATCATGTCTCCCCTATTTCTTCTTTTCTTTAAACTAGCCAGACCCTAGTCCTGCAGCCGTTCTTCTTATGTTTTAGTCTCCAGGCCTTTAATCATCTTAATTGCTCTTCTCTGAATTTTTTTCCGAACTCTCAACATCTTTTTTTGTGATAGATTCTCCTGAAATGGGTCAGTCAAAGCTGCAACATTCCAGTCCAAATCTTGGGCCAATAACTTGAAGGTGCTGATGGGCCGCACCCTTGCTTCAATTCAGGAATGCGCTTGTTGGTACTTTGAGCTTTCACAAGACCTGTATACATCATCTACAATTGCTGGCTAAAGTCATCAAATTTACCCATCAGAGAAACCTGCTGCAACAAAAAAGCAGTGGCCCATTTAGCAGCTGCTCTAGAGAATTAAGTTGTTTAGAATTCATTTGGGAGGTTTTTAGGCCATACACTCAGCTGGAGTTTAGATCCTACCAGGAAAGCTGGAAAATGGTCCAGCAATTTATCAGATTTGACCACCGAGCTTCTGCGTGGAGGAGGAGTGTGATTTTCAGTATTTGGCTGGTTTAATACCTCCTGCTGCTGGGTGGCAAATGCAGCCATTTGCTGGCTTGGTTGAACATTTTCATCTGTGAGCTGCTCCATTGTAGTTTCAAAAGTTTTTCACTCTCTCAGGCAAGAAAAGTGTGCGTATGGAACAAGCAGTCCTCT